TTCCACCATCAGTGGTACATCACTGTTGGCAGGTGTCACCTTCGGCTCCTCTTTCAGAAAAATGGAAGATGGAGTCCCAAGTCACGTGGTGATAACTTTTCTAACATACACACTGAGGGGCCATCAGACCTAGAGCTGCCCAGGGGGTCCACCGGGCCCCCACTGTCCTCCTCCTCTCCCAGATCCTGCTCTTGCCGTGGCACTCCCACTGGTCCTGATCCTGACCCCAAGAACAGTCCCGAGTAAGAGCGCTGCCTGCTAACGTCACCTCAGCTTCAGCCTCTTGGTGGATTCACCCTGTGACCGTGATGCTGGTGGCTCTGGTGGTGGATGTAACAGACCTCTCAGCCTGCCCTAGCGAAATACCCCAAACTGCATGACTCTCAAAAGAACTTTTGTTTCTCACTGTTTTTGGGGTTGGAAATCTGAGATCACAGTTCTGTTTCTGGTGAGAGCTGCGCCTGTTTGCAGCCTCTTTGTCTTCACACAACCTCTCCTCTGAGCCTGCTGGAGACCTTGTCTTCTAAGACCCTGCCCTCCCTGTGACCTCATTTAGTCCTAGTTACCTCCTAAAAAGCCACTGTGGGTTCAGGTTCTACATATGAATCTTAAGGGAACACAATTTAGTCATAGCAGTGAAAAGGTTGATCATGAAGATGGTAATGACCTTGACAATGACAGATATGTTGGTGTTGACAAAATGATGGTAGTGGTGGTGATGGTGGCAATGATGGTGGTGGTGGCAATGGTGGTGATGGTGGCGATGGTGATGGAGGTGGTGATGATGGTAATAATGATGGTGGTGGTGGCGGTGAATGTGATGGTGTTGGTGGTGACAATGGTGGTGGTGACGATGACAAGGATGATATACAGGATTGAGGATGACTATAGCGATGACAATAACCATGATGGTATTCTTGGTGTTGATGATCATAATCATAGTCCACATTTAATGGGTGCTTGATACCGGCATGACACTGCTTTCTGAAACTTTACATGTGATAATTCATTTACTCAACAATTCTGGCCCTTAGAAGCTGGCATTCTTTTCGTTATTCAGAGAAGAAAATCAAGGCACAGAGGGATTAAATACTTGCTTAAGGTCACATGGAGAGATTATGGCAGATGAGAACCTTCACCCCAGGGTGCCTAGAGCCCTGAGGCCCTGCTCAAAGGTGCTCAGAGTCCAGAAGGCATTTGGGCACAGGGTGTCGAGCCCAATTTTCCACTGGGCAGGAAGGAAGACCCACGCAGCCACATACTGGGCCGTTCATCCACTCCCTACTCAGCAGCGGGTCCTGAGCACTGAGTCGTCCTCTCCCAGGGGGGCCTTTTGCAGTTATCCTAGGAGTTGGGCTCCTCTGAGGGAGACCAAGGGCCAGAGCATCTAATGTGATGCTTCCAAAGGCAACTGCAGCGATGGTGCTGGTGACCCTTTGAGGCCGGGCAGGGCAGTAGCTGTGCCATATGGTTGGCTGAGGCCTGTGGAAGTGAGCTTGCCTGTCAAGCCATGTGTGACAAAAGTCAAGTCTGTTTCTCCTGCGTGGGTGCAAGCAGACCACAGCTTTGCCTAATTTTGGAGACCTTCCTGTTAGGGCTGACCCGTGGCAAACACACCAGAGGTTGGAAGAAAAAGCTCTAGTAATACTAGTAACCGCTAGTAGTTCCCTTTGGGGACTGGGGGAATGTGCAGGTCCCCCCACAAGCATCAGCTGTTACTGTTAATAATCCTCAGTGCTCACAGTAAAGACAGAAGCAGGGAGCAGAGAGTAGAGTCCCAGGAGCTGAGTGCTTGGGTCCAGACCAGGTGACCTTGAGCTAAAATCCTGCCTCTGCCACTTCCTGGCTGTGTGATCTTTGATACATCACTTCTAGTTCCTTCCTCTGTAGAATGGGGTAACCATAGCATCTGAGGCTTTCCATGAGGAGCAAATGAGCTCCTCTCTATCAAATACCCAGCAACTGTGCCTGGTAAGTCCAGGCTGAGTGTCCCATGTCATACTGACCATGACCTTGCCGACAGTGAACTGTTCTTATGTGCTACATGCTTTACATGCGCAATCTCATCTAACCATCACGTCCACCAGATAGCTACTGTCATCAGCCCCATCTCGCAGAGGAGTAAATCGGGGTTTGGGATGGTTGAGTCTCTTGTTCAAGTTCACACAAAGGAACCCACCCCATGTGACCCCAGGGCTCCGAGCCATCCGCCCTGTCCCGCGGCTGCCTCCCTGGCCTGGGTGGAGGTGGTCCTCTCTGGGGAACGGCTGTTGGGGGGCTGGCTGACGCCATCTTGGAGGGCGGGGAAAGCAAGCTATAGATGAGGGGGTGCCCTCTTCTGGTTGGGGCTGGTGCTCACCCGCAGGGCCCCCCTAACACAACTAAGACACAGTGGGGCCTGCATGTCTTCTGTCCTGCCATGAGGAAGGACAGAGCAGGCACTCTTGCCTCCATCAGGGGCACCGAGGTACTCCCTGTTTGCTTGGCTTTTTTTATTGTTGTTGTTAAAGATTTATTTATTTCGGCAGACAGAACTGAGGTACAGGCCAGAGGTGCAGGGGTGGTGAAAGGATTCACCAGAGACAGAACTGGAAGCAGTTCTGATGAAGTGCACTGCTGAGGGGAGCAGCGGGAGGGTCAGGAGAGGTCTGCCATGCCATGTGGTCACCTCCAGGGTGGGGATCGAACTTATGCTCAAGTGGCTTTAGCTTCTTAGTGCTGAGCTTTAACCCGCTGCGCCACCAGGGAGGGCCCTTGCTTGGCTTTTTAAGAAGACTCCATGGTTAGATTTGAAGGGCTGGGAAGACTTCAGCTGTGTCAGCTGAGGTAAGTCATTTCATTTCTCTGGGCCTCTTACCCACACACCCATCCACCCACCCTCCCAATCCTCCTTCCCTCCCTCCCTCCCTCTTTCAGCTTCCCTCTCCCTTCCTTCCACCCTTCCATCACCCATCCATCCTTCATGAAGTCCCTACTAAGTCAAGAACTGTACCAGATGCTGGCTTCCCTAGTTAAGACACTGACATGAAGACAATGCTCACACTCATCAACAGGAGACTAATTACGGGCACCCACACACAGAACGCTGTGCAGCTGTTAATAAGAACAAGGCAGGTCTATGGGAACTGCTATGGAATGACCTTCAGAAATAAAGTTGAATGGAAAATGAAAGAATTTTGTGTATTACGAAACTGTGCATAAAGGAAAAAAAGGGGCAGTCTATTTAGACACAAACTGGACATGCCTAGAACAGCTCTGAGGGACACTAGAGGTGTGAGAGATCTGAGGAGGGAATCTGGGGACTTAGCAGGGTGGCCAGGAAACACCTATCATTCTGTTCCAGTTCATGCTGTTGGGAGTTTTTTCTATAGTCCTGATTAAAATTGAGAAAAAATATACAAAGAAAACCCCAACCCAGTCTCTGGGTAGTGATATAGGATGGCATAGCAAACGCAATACTTCACGACACACGGGGTCAGGGATTAGGGGAATATGGAGCAGAGAGGGGCACAGAGCTCAGCCTGGGGGAAGTCAGGGGAGGCTCCCCAGAGGGAGCGCTACCTGGAACAAGAACCCCAGGCTGAGTGGAGGAGGAACAGCGGAGGCCTGAAGGCGAGGCTTGGTGTGAGAGGTGTAGCCGTTATAGAGGCTGGGCGGGGACTTGGGTGTGTTTTGCCTGGATACGAATGGGGGGGGGGTGCATACGTTGGGTCACCCAGCCCAGATCAGTGGGCCCGAATTATTGACCTTTTGAACCAGTTTCCTTGTTTGAAATGTGTACCACAGAGAGCTCTTGGAGTCAGCGGATTGTCGGGGTGGGGGCCTGGAACAGGCAGGGGTGTTTGCTGGGTAGACTGGGACCTTGTGCTGAGATCTGTTATGTAAGTGGTGCCAAGACCCCGCTGGGTGGCAGCTCTCTGCAGGGCGCATGATGCCCTCGTGTGGTGAAAACTAGATTTGCTGGGCAGAGGAGTGTCTTCAGTGTAATTACGCCTCTTAGCTGTACAACCACTCTTGAGAGCTTTGGCCTATCCTGGTAGCATTGCTGTGGCGATTTACAAGAAGCTTCTGATGTTAGAAATCAGGGATGTCAGGTGGTACAAAAATGCCTCGTTTAGAAAATCACAAAGGAAGTGGAGGGGAATTAGTTACCACGTGTAATAAAGATGGGAAAGAAACAAGCCCAGCCTGGAGTGACCGAGAATTACATAGCATACGCCACAGGGCACCGCTGGACAGGGCTGCACCGGGCTCCAGTGTGAGACTCCTACGGAGGCCAGCTCTGTGGTCTCCACGCTTGTGGAGGGCGCAGCCTTTGCAGTTCTGTGCCTTTCACCAGAATCGAGGATTTAAAGCCATTAACACGGACAGTGTATTTAGCAGGCAGTTAGTCTGTGCCTGGACCAAAAACTGCATCAGAATGACACATCTTGCTTCGGGAGAGCTGGTGAGAGCAGAGATCTCGGCGTCCTGCTTCACTAGAAAATTCGGCTTCCTTTAGTGGATGTTAGCTGAGCAGGACTGTGGTACCTCGGAATGGCACACCCTGCCGTCTGCTGGGGGACAGGGTCAGGAAGGGCAGTGACCCCAGCGTCACTCCAGTCTGCTACTCGGTCACTGCAGCGGACGGGCCGGCAGAGACCCCAGCTGTCTTCCCCGGGGCTCGGCTCACTGCCACCAGCCAGGGCCCACACCCGGGTGCAGCATGTGGCCAAACTGACTCCCCGGTGAAGCGTATTTGATCCACAGCTCCAGCAGCGTTAGAGCCAAGAGCGCTCAGATTTCAAAAACCAGGGAAATCACTGACAGGCTCACCCCGAGTCCTCAGCCTGCTGCCTCGCGCCGTGCATGAGATGCCAAGGCCCTCGCCCTCACCCACGTTTCACAGCATCAAGTTTGGGCTCGTGGAAATCTGTAGCCTTTCAGTGTTGTTTGCTCAGAAACATGCAGCCATCGCCACGGAGGCGAGGACCCAAGAGCAGGCTCAGCAGAGAAGCACACTGTCTTCACTTTCATTTATTGCGTACACGCGCGCATGCCTCATGTACAGTGACTGCTCCTAGCAAACAATCGTGCCAGGACGCTCTATTTAGTCTTCTGCAAAATAGACTCAGGTAAATTAGATCTGTGCATTTCATGGGCTAGCAAAACTTGTTCAATTCAGTTTTGAGGCCACACAATTCAAAATAAACATGAGCTGGGTTCAGGTAACAGACGTGGGGCGGGGGGCAGAAACCACAGGATTCAGAACAGCGAGACTGTGCTCTGCTGGCACCAGAGCCACTCGGGACAGCAAGCACATCTCAGTGGGGGATTTTTATTTACTGCAGCGGGAGGGGCTTCTGGACACCTATGCTCGCAGGCAGGTGGACAAACTGCTGGGTGGCTGCGGCTGGAGGCTCACTTCTTCTCCGCCTCGCCCTTCTGGGGCGCCTGCTTCAGTTTGTAGTCAGCCAGGGCGGCTTTGATTGCATCTTCAGCCAGCACTGGAAGTAACGGAAAGAGAGCGTGTCAGTGTCCAGACCAAAGGACAGAGCCCTCAAATAATCCTCAAGGGCCGGCGGAGGTGGGAGCGGGGAGCCGGGAGGGTTAGAGACAGACGGGGCTAAGCCCCTAGGACCCTCACGCTTTCCCGCCAGGGTAGTATGAGGAGAGGACTCCATCGAGTGTGTACCGAGCAAGGACGCCGCAAATGCTACTTCTCACCTGCTGACGTGCAAGCCAGGAACAGAGGCAGGGCTGGCTGAGGCGGCGGCTGTACTTGGGTCACGCCCATTAGCCAGCACGACTGCCTCTCAAGTGACCCCAAGTTCGAAAACTTATTTTGGAATTGATATTAAAAAGATGCTAAGAGGGACATGAAAATGGCAGCTGGCCAGCAGCAGGGTGCATCACTGCAACTCTCAGCACTTTAGAGGCCTCATGGAAAGCCCGGGGTTTTGGGAAACGGCATGAAAGTGTTTGTATGCTGAGGTCTTCATTCACGGGCACCCCAATCTCCAGCGCAAGTGAAGAACTCGGGCGCAGCCGAGTTCCTGAGGACGCATCAGCAGGCCCTGCCCCGCACCCTGCTCCTGACAGCCTGCTCCCGCGGAGGCCTGACTGGCCTCATCCCGGTGGCCTCCACCGGGGCCCTGCGGCTGCTGTTTTCATCCCCTTTCCCCGGGAAGGGGTGGGAGGAGACCTGAGGACCTCAGGTTTGAGAGAGGCGGAACTGGAAAGCGGAGTGCAAGGCTAGGGCACCTGGGCCTCCCCCAGGACAGGCGCCCCACCAGGCCGGCACCAGGCTCCCAGAGCAGCAGCGCCGGACAGGAAGTGACGCGGCAAGGCACAAGTTACGGCCGAGCCGAGTGTGCTCTGTGGGCTCTGACCTTCCGAGTGGGCAGGCACGACCCAGACTCTGACATCAGGCTGGGCTCAAACTCTGGCTCTTCCATCAGGGGTCATGGGGCCGGGCGCCCCGGTTTCCTGTGTGGCGTGAGGTGGCCTAGTGCCTCCCTCTGTGGGCTGCAGAATGCCTCTCAGGGTCAGGACCGGCGCATGGCGGGCTCAGCATGCCGGCCAGCACTGCCTGCCCCGAGGCTCCTGGAGACAGCTAGGACCGCCCCGCTCTACCAGTCACAGATGCACTCCGTGGCCCTAACCCTGGGAGTTTTTACAGATGGACTCTGTGACCAGAATGTCCCATTGCCACTGTCTCCATGCTGAGAAATGATGCCGGTTGTCTGCTGGCTGGCACCGGTGGGCACTCACTGGAGCAGTGCAGCTTCACTGGAGGAAGGCAGAGCTCCTTGGCGATGTCTGTGTTTTTGATGGTCAAGGCTTCCTCCACCTGAGACACAGGGAAGAGGGCAGTTTTAGTGTCCTGAGAAACAACAGTAAAAAAGGCCAGAGGTCCTCAGGGTGGTGGGATGACTTCTATCTAGTAAACCCAACTAAGGGCTGAGGGCCAGGCACTTTGTGGACCCCACTTGCCTGTCCAGGCTGCAGCTGGGGTTGTTGGTGTGAGGCCTACACTCCCATGCAGCGGGCTCAGCAGGCCGGCAGGCACCTCCACAAGCCGGAGCACCCGCGTCGCTTAGGGATCTGCTAGAGTCAGCACCCTGAGCTCTCCTCAAGGAGGCAGCAGGGGCCGATGTGCGTGGACGCCCTAACGCCTAGCCCCTCAGTCAGTGCTGAGGGTGCAGGGAGGGTAGAGGGGCGTGCGGCAGGCTGGCGGCGCTCCAGCATGGGCGGAGCCCCGAGACCTGGGGTGAGGGCTCTCATCGAGCTCCTCCTGTCCCCACGGGAGAATCTGGCGCCTTCAGGCAGAGGCGCCCGCGGTTTGCCGAGTGTCGGAGGACTTAACCCAGGGCAGGAAGTTCTCTGCCGCATGAAAACTCAGATGAGGCTCTCAGGTCAAAGAAAGGCCCACTGGCCAGCCTCCGCCTCACAGGGCCGCAGGGCCCTGGCTCCTGGGTTCTCCTCTCCCCGAGAACAGCTCTTGACAAATCACTCCAGAACCTCCTCCTGCCAGAACAGGTAGGCTCGTGTTTCCTGGGCACAGGGGCCTTGCCAAGAAGGCCTGAGCCACGGAAAGCGGGCAGCACGGGGCCTAGCATACGTCATGGCCCCCGGGCACGCTGCTCCGTGACTCAGTGCTCTGGGCGGCCACCGAGACGAGTACCCTGCAGTCTGGCTTTCCTACGTAAGGACCGGGTTTTAGAGCCCAGCACGTCACTGCTTTTCCCGTCACCTTCCACCTCTGCAGCTGCCGGGAAAGAGCTTTTGCCAGAGAACAGGATGCTCCAGCATTCCTAACTCCACCTTCGGAGGGCCTGCGGCTGGCACCCGCACACTGGTCCGCTCTGCCTGCCCCACCCTCCTTGTTCTGGATGTTTTAACCCCTATTTTAGCACAAGCTGGTTTGTAATTTCATGAATCCTTGGAAGCCGCCTGTGATCCTTTCTGAAACATGAGGGGAGGGAAGAAACAAGCCAACAAACCACTTTACTTCCCACTTGAGAAAGTACAGCACATCATTTCTCCTCACAGCACCTTGACTTCTACTTTATTATAGGGCGAGATGAGGATTTTTTTTTTTTTTAGTTAATTAAACACAAAACAAATGCCACTAAAACCTCCAAACAAAAATGATCATTAACAGCCACCCCTAAACTAAAAAATACTTAATGAGATTATCCATAATTCACACTGTGAAGGAGACTTTAATCAAATTTAGGTAGGAGAAATTAAAAAATAATTGCTTTATTATTTGGAAAAAATCATGATCACTTTTTTCGCTGACTGGCCCTTCTTTGAAGTGAGAGGCAGGCTTGCGGGGAAGCAGCCTTGGAAGCATCTTACCGTCTTCCCTTTCACCCACTCGGTGGCTAGTGAGCTGGAGGCGATTGCAGAGCCACAGCCAAATGTCTTAAACCTGGCGTCCACAATCTTCCCCTTTTCATCCACCTGAATCTAGAAAAGAGACTGGAGTTAAGTGGTGGTTCCTGGTGCCTCCCCATAGAGCCTGGCATGCTTGGAGGGGTCACTGAGTCTCCCCAAGAGCTTTGGTCTTGCTCCCCAGCCTTAGATTTTTGGCATTAACTACTGAGTTCACTTTGGTTCAAAGAGCTTGGGGACGAAAAGTTAAATGTGAGAGCAAGTACGCAGAACTGCACCGGCCTCGCTTCTCCACTCTGGTTTTTTCTTTGCCTGCTATTTTTGCTCATGGCTGCCGGGTCGATGTGCTTCTACAAACATGGGAGGGCCTGCAAGAAAGGTCTCTGGCTAATGTTTTTTTGGGGCACCAAATTACAATTGGTGGTTCCCACTTGCCTGGTTTCTGTTTTCCAAGACAGGCATGAAGACCTCTGGAACGCTGCCCACCCACATGAAGTAGACTGTGCCAGAGCTACTGTTTACCCAAGGGGCCAGCCACACCTTCATGTGGTCTCCAATTTGGGGGAGGTTTGGCTTACTGTACTTCTTGTCTCACTGGGGATTGCTAGCTGAACAGTTACAGGTTTCCTTTGATCGGTAAAGTTCACAAAACCTTTTACTTAACTGAAGTTGGAATGTTAGCTAATACAGTGAGTTGAAACGTAAGACCAGCTACTATGTCAGAAAGGGCAGCACAGTGTCAGAGAGCCCCTGCTGTGATCAGAACACTGACTCATCCCATTTCCCAGGAATTAAGATGGAAACTTGATTGAAATATTTCTGTACAAACCTGTAAGTAGTGTACAGGCAAAAGGATTATCATCATTACCACTGAAGACGAAAACAAGGAACTCCCTGTGACCTGGGGTTAAGCCTCAGTGCCTGCCCCTCTGGCCCACCCTAGCTCTTCGATGCAAAAATAAAAATTAAAGATGAAAACCAGCTGTACCTGCAACTTCATCACATCACCACATGCTGGAGCTCCCACCAAGCCCGTTCCAACATTTTTCGATGTCTTGTCAAGGGAGCCCACATTCCTAGGATTTTCATAATGATCAACCACCTGAAATGAGAGGGTTAAAAGAAATCATAATTCTCTTTTGGTATTGGCCCCTTGACTTGATGGCAAATCTTTCTAATTTTCTTTTTAAGAGATTTATTTATTTATATGTACAGAGCCAAGGTACAGGCCAGAGGAGTGAGAGGATTCACCAGAGACAGAGTCGGGGGTAGAACTGGCAGACTGACAAAGTGCACTGTTGAGGGGAGCAGCCGGCGGGTCAGGAGAGGTCTGCTGCAACATATGGGTCAGCTCCCAGGCAGCCCGGGGATCGAACTCGCACTGAAGCAGCTGTGGCTCGCTTACAGTGCTGTGCTTTAACCTCCCGAGCCACCAGGGAGGGCCTGATGGCAAGTTATCAAAGTCAGCAACCTGAACTTGGCAGGCAACTGCTAAATACCAAATTTCACCAGAGCAGGAAGGCCTACCCTATGTCAATGAGAACCACCATTTGTGACGCAAATTCTTTTTGTATCTCTTCCTATCTTCAGAGATCTGAAAGTGTTGAGATACTGAAGGAAAATCTGCAAAATCACGTCTTAGTTCCATTATGTTTTAAAATCAAGTCGTTACTTAACCTTCACCTACCTACATAACCCCCCCCCATGTTATTTCCAAATAAAAGCCCTTCCAAAAAGATGGCTCAATCAAACATTCTAAAAATAACTGCAGCTCAACAATTGAAGGCTTCCCAGATGCCTCAAGGATACTACTAGAGAAGGGACAATGTTCTGAAATGTATATATAATAATATATACTCAATATTCTGGAATTTGTATAGAATAATAAAAATAAACACAGTACCATTACTGACTTCAGGGCTCTGAAACCAAGCCTGGAACAGCAGCGCACCCTAGTGGCTGATAAAGATTGTGAGCTCAGATTCAAGCAGCGTGTTACTGTCAACAAAACACGCCCCTGAAGGGGCGGGGAGGAGTGAAGTCCTTGGCAAACGCGAAGCCGGGACAGAATTAAATATCAATTCAAACTGGCACACGATGGCTTTAAAAACCTTGAGGTTGCATACTAGCTAACTGTAAGTCTCCCAATCCTCCTGTCCCCCTACTTTCCTGACCACGGATTTTGACGCCAAGCCCAAGGACCTACACGGTGATATCCTATCTGGACTTTTGGATCCATGATGACATACTGCATTCTTTAAACAGTAGTTTCCCACGTGAAAGAATCTCAGGTTCAGAGAACTTTACGCCCCCAGCAGGCAAGGACTGCAAGCTACGCACTTACCTCTACTCCCTATGCTTCCACCCCAGGCCCAAAACCAAAACCAAAATAAAAACATTGTGACAGCTGGCTACGAGTCTGACTACACCCAGAGGGTATAAGCTCTTAAACAACAACAACAACATCATGCACCGTAAGTGTGCTAAGTAGTCGGCACCTTCTCCACTTCACCATCACATTATCCCACGGGAGGGGCTATGATCCTTTTTGTTTTTAAGTCCACGCAGACTTGCCCAAGGTCACCTGGGCAGGGCAGTGGCCTGCTGAAGCCGGAGCCCCCGCCGGCGAGTGCCGGTCTCTGGAGTCACACTGGCAGGCGATAACAAGACCCTCCTTAGAGGGTCTTGGACGTTTAGAGGTTTGGACGTGGACGCACGGAAAGCGGGGCCAACTGGTAGTCCGCGCTTGTTATTTTTATTTCTCGCGCGGTCAGTGTTACTGCGCAACGAGGCAAAGTTAGTGGAGGGCGAAGTCGTGCGAGGGGGCAGCTCCTCCGCCCAGGGCCGAGAGCCTCGCCTCCCCAGGCCGCGCAGAGCCGGCGGCCCCTCCTCTCTATGCCAGGCCTTGGCCGGCCTCGACACACCTGGCTCCCCTAGACGGCTCCCAGCGGATGCGGATCTGCTGTTACCTTTTTGTGATAGAGGCGGGCCGGAGCTGAGAGTTCCCTGGCTGGCAGGCGCGGACTCCGGAGCAGCAGTGTTGAAGCCGCCCTTCTCAGACGGCCCGCTCCAGCCGCCGCCATCTTGCGGGCTTGCGCCTGCGCAGACCAGGCGCCAGACCCAGGCGAGGGACGCTAGTCGGCTCCCTGCTTGGAGCGCGCGTCCTTTTACGTCACCGCGACTTTGCGCCTGCGCCCTCCTGCTCCTAGGACAAGTCGCGTTTTGGCCCCGCCCCCAGGGGCGGGCGGGGCGCGGAGCGGGAAGGTCCGAAGTTGTTGGAGGGCTCACTCTCCCCCCAGGGCTGAGCTCTGGATCTGAGGAGACCTCAAGCTCGACTCGGGCATTCAAGTTGGCATTCTCAAAGCCCACTGCTAGAATGCGGCGCAGAAGGTCACCCAGCCCTTTCTTAACCTTATATTGCAACCAAGGAAGTTGAGGTTCAGCTTGCTCTAGTAACTTATCCAAGGTCGCCAGAGAGTTAGGTTCAACTGAGATTTGAACTCGGACAATTGTTGGGTTAGGACCCCAGTCCTGCACCTTCCTGGCTGGGTGATCCTAGGCGTATGGCTCTTTCAGGCTCGATCTTGTCTTTTGGACGAACTCACGGGCAGTTCTTCATTCATAGAGCAAATTATGTGTTGGGCACCTATCATATGTCACGTAGCTAAACTAGGTTTTGGGGGATTCAACGGAAAGAAGACACAATTCCTGATGTAATTAACATCATGATAATGAAATCAAAAGGCAAGGAACAAGGACAGACAGCAATGCTTAACCACTTCAAAACCTTGCGAGCCTGATTAAGAAGGCAACGAATACCATGCCCTGATTTTTAAAAAAAAAGTACATATCGATTGTATCTATTTTTGTACGCAACAAACTCACATTTACATGAAAATGCCTAGCAATTAAGACTTTCCAACTAAGTGCACAGTAATGTAGTTTAATAATAATGGCTTGCTGAATACGATTTTGCAAACCAGAAAACACACGTAATTAACGCCTACAAGGCAGCAGGTATTACACAAAGGGGAGGAATCTTTTGGGAAGTGAGATTTTCTTATGGATGGTGCAATCGATCCTTCCCTGAAGACTTGGGGTTTTCTTTGCGTCTGCGTCTCATCAAACCAAACCACGCTCCAGGTCAGACGAGGGGGTACCGAAGACTTTGAAACCAAGAATCCCTTTGACCTTCTCAAGATGGTGCCAAACCCTTCACTACTGTCATCACGCTCGCTCCAAGACTTCCGCTAATGGCCTCCACTTCCTGTCCAAAGACCCAACTTGTGCCCAGAGTTGTGACGGAACACACGCTATATTAATTTAGCTTTTATTTCAACGGGAACCCCCCGAAGTATTTAAAAATAACATGCCCCGCGTGTACCCCCAGCTGCCCCCTCATAGGCGGCTCACGGGCTCCTGAGGAGGCAGGTGTTGGGGGTTTGGGGCAGGCGCTCGCCGCGGGCAGCACATGCCTTGGCGGGTCTTCCGAGGCCCAGTGAAGGCTCGAGAGGCGCTGGAGGAGCAAGATGGCGACCGCGGCCGCAGCGTCGGCTTCGGAACCAGAGGCTGAGCCCGAGGCTGCGCCCGAGGTTGAGGGAGAGGAGGATGAGGCGAAGGCCGCCAGGACGAGGAGGAAGGTGTTGTCCCGGGCCGTGGCCTCCGCGACGTACAAGACCCCGGGGCCAGGGTGGGACCAGCAGGAGGAAGGCGTGAGTGAGAGCGATGGAGATGAGGAGTACGCCATGGCGTCCTCCGCGGAGAGCTCGCCCGGGGAGTACGAATGGGAGTACGACGAAGAGGAGGAGAAGAACCAGCTGGAGATCGAGCGTCTGGAGGAGCAGGTGCGCCGGGCCAAGGCTTTCCCCTGGGCCCCAGGTCCAGCCCGGTCTCCGGTCCTCGGCGCTCGTAAAGCCGCCGAGGCGGCAGAACCGCTATAAATCACCGTCGCTCCTGTTACTTACGCGCTTACTGCTTGCTCCCGGCTTTGCCAGCCTGGCCTCGTTGAATCCTCCCAGCGACCCAGGGAAGGAAATCGTGTTTTACGGGAGGTTACCGGGTCTCCTGGTGGAGGGGACCCCCCCCCCCCCAAGATTGCACTTCTTAGTGGCGATTTGGGTCTTGAACTTGAACCGACTGCAGAACGCCCCTTCTGAGCCAGGGCGTTACACTGTGACAGTGGTAAAGATACAGTCTTAGTGTAACTTACTTTCCAGTAGGAAGGATGATGATAAAATACGGTGTGGAGGGAAAGTGTGGACCCTGTCGACAGTAACAGAAATGAAAAGATAAGGAGATTTCAGAGGCCAGAGGCTAAGGCTCCTGTTCTAGCTTTTTCACACCTGTATGTGCTTGGATTCATTTCTTGACTTCTCTGATGCGCGCCTTCCAGCTCAGCTAAGTAGTAAGATGATTTCTAACTCTTGTGTCGTGCAGGACTTCGGAAGGAATAGGTGGCCCTTTGAATTAGGATTATGCGTGGAAAGACTAATTAAAGACTTACTAAGGCCATGGGCTGGGAAGTCAGGAGCAAAGATTTAATTTCCTCCGGAATTTCCTCCGGCTGGGCTGGTAACTGCGGGACCTTGGTCCGCCCTGAGACCTGAAGGGGTGAGGGAGTGGCCTGCTTTCGCAACGAGTGTGTGAGAGGAGTTGAAACCTTTGGTCAAGGGGGAGCAGCCCAGTTTTCCATGAGGGACTGGGACTGGGGGAATACCCTGGCCTCCCTCTCTCTTCCTCTCTCTAGATACTGCTGGTACCTTCTGCTGGGCAAACCTGCTTCACGGGCTCTAGACAGGGCACCTGATGGAAGGGATTGAACACATTTTCATTTTACAGATGAGCAGGTGGACTCAGAACATAGGATTCAAGGATTTGCTCCAAGTTGTTCATTTGAGCTTTTCACGGTTGTCTTTTGCCCACACCGGATGTGAAATCACTCAGTGATGTGAAGTAGTTAATCTGTCACATTGCTGGGTGTGAGTTTCCCTGTAATGTCCTCTGGCAGTGGTATTTTTAAGTTGTGAGGTTATGATGTCATCCACCGATGTGCCAAGCTTGCCCATTCATCACATCTGATTCTCAAAGGAGCCGTTTGGGCTGGGCAGGTGGTTACCTTTCCTGCTTTTTAAAGTAAGTGTGCTGGTGTCTAGTCAGTTTTGTGTTCATTGAGCAGATGCGGCGTGACCAGACGTGCCAGACTGACTGTGTACCTGCCTATCCTGCTAGCCTTGGGCCTTTCAAGGAGCCAGTAGCTTACTGTCTTACTCTTCTGTGAAGTAGGGGAAATAGGATTATCTGTGGTGGTGAAGGTACCCAGCTTACTAGGGAGGAGGCTAGGGTAGAGCAGAGGTCTGCTGGCAGGTGCCCTGCCTCAGGTCACCGAGACTGGCATGGGATGGGACCTGGCAGGTGATGGTGAATTGAAGAACCTCTGGACTTTATCTCCTGTTCTGGGGTTCTGAAAATGGACTGTTCCAGTTTTGCCAGGTCGCATCCTAGTCCCTCCGCCTCTAGTTCGAGCTGTAGTTGCCGAATGGGGGAACTTAGTGACGAGTGACTTCCCGTAGGCCTGCGAATAACTGGGCTTTGCCAGATTTGTGAATTCTAGTTCTCATCCCTGAATGTATTTTAAGGAAGCTCAGAATTGTCTGTCCATGTAGCAGAAGTAGAGATTTTCCGTTTTTGGTGCCCATGTGCTCACACTTGTGGCACCTTGGGGTGCCCTAGATGCCCTACAGCATGGTACAGTGCAGAGGATATGGCGGCCGTGCGTGAGCTCACACCCTCTGCTCGGTACTGGGAAGATCTTGGGCGATGATTTCAGCTCTCTCAGCCTGATGTCCCGTGAAGGTTGTAACATTCGTCCCCCTCAGGGCTGTGTGGAGCCAAAGTGACGCTACGTGCAGAAAGCTCCTGGCAGGTTTGCACTCCGGAGGGCTGTGCAGAAAGACCTGTTCCAGGCTCCTTTCCCATGACTGTACCGTGTGCCCTGCCCACCAGGCCTCCCTGTTGTCTCCGCTTACCGCCAGCTCCAGCTCCAGGTCAGCGTGAGGGGGCAGGAAACCATTTCGCAGATCTCTCTAGAGCA